AATGCGAATCACTTTACCGATGACTTGGTACACCATCGGTATCGTATTTTATCATTTCGAGATCTTTTTAAAAGATCGGGAAATAAATGAATTGAAAATTATCGAATAAACTCTTGTCTTTATTATACACTTTCTTTGTAGATTTAGTTTTTTTTCTTTTTAAATTCACAAATTTAAACTCCTTTGGGTCACATGATGCAAACCTCCTCGTGGTGTGGCCCGGACGTCGAGCAATTTGTTCGATGACTAATGTGCATCACTATCAACAATATAACCTTTTTTTTTAAAGCTTCAAACTCGAGTTATTGTATAAATTTAAGAATTCCTTTAATGTATCAGTAACTATAAAAATTAATAAAGATGAAAGTTATATTTTATTTAGTTTGGCAAAAAAAATTATAGCTATTAAATTATCGTTCAAATAAGTTTTTAATAAATCACAGGAATCATGAACTAACACTACAGAACTGCACAAAACTTTGTAAAAAGAAAGCCCGAAGCCCAAAATTTATATATACAGGTATTCGACTAACAGACGAAAAATGCTGAAAATACGTTTTTTTATTACTGTATTATAAATGCATCAAAATCGCAATTTCCGAACAAAAATTACACAAAATTTAGTATTAATCCCTGCCCCTGATCGATAAATTTCGCTTTGGCGAACCCCGGTTAATCAAAAAAAAAAAATTTTTGCACGGAGAATTTAGATTAACCAATAATTCTATAGATTTTCTGATTTTTAAATCGTGTTCTTTATGCTAGTTTATTCAACTACTCGATAAGTTTAAAATGACTTCAAACGCAAAAGAACAGCGACTTCAAGATGAATTGTTCAATGAACGCGCTCGATTTCTTAAAGAATTCCTGGAGGCTAACGTACTATTTTATATTTTTCACGCGTATTTTCGCGTATAAATCGATAACGCGTATTTTTTTTGTATAAATATATATCTAAGTAATCAGTATTACGTATTCTACTCTAAATTGTTAATATTTTAGGACAGAGATTACGAAATCAAGTACAAAAGCGAGCTATTACGTTTACTACGAAATGGAGAAAACCGACTAATTGTCAGTCTAAATGATCTACGTAGTTATCACACTGAAAATTCTGAAAAGTAAATTGAATTTTTTTTTATAGAGTATGACTTTATATTAATTATTACAAGATTAAATAAATAAATTAATTAATAGGATTATAGATTCTCCTAACGAATGGATACTCGCGCTTGAAAAGGCGATCAAAGATGTTGCCCTAAGCTTAAATGATCCTATAATTAACAAAATCGAAGACTTACACATACACGCGGGTTTTACGGGAAATTTTCGTTATCATATTAATCCGGGAACATTAAAATCTATACATATAGGAAAATTGATTTGCATAGAGGGGATCGTTTCGCGATGTATTATATAAAATTAATAAAAATATTTATCGTTTTTTACTGTTGCAAGCCTATGACTCATATATTTTTTTTTTACATTACCCAACTTCAACATAACCTGTAGGTTCTCTTGTTCGATTAAAATTATCTAAAAGTGTTCATTTTTGTGAAAAAACTGGTGTATTTTATTACAAAGAATATCAAGATTCCACTACTATTGGAAATCACTTACCATCGGCATCAGGGTATCCCACAGAAGACGAGAATGGTAATCCACTGACAACTGAGTTTGGTTATTCAACATATAAAGATCATCAGACTATCTGTCTTCAGGAAATGCCTGAAAAGGCTCAGACTGGTCATTTGCTTAGATCAGTTGATATTATATTGGATGATGACTTGGTCGACAAAGTGAAACCTGGTGATCGTATACAATTAGCAGGTTGTTATAAAGCTATTGGCAAACCAAATCAAGCAACGACTTCTGCGACATTTAAGTGAGTTAGTTATTTTATTAAAATTGTTTCGCTACATTTTTGTCTTGATATTTTATGTCATTATTATAAAGAACCATCATTATTGCAACCAATATCACCGTCTTATCTGGAGATGTCGGTCGAAAAATAATCACGGAAGAAGATATTAAAAATATAAAAAAAGTTTCAAAAACTAAAGATGTATTTGAACTATTAGCGAGATCTTTAGCTCCATCAATTTATGGTCATGAAATTATAAAAAAAGCAATTTTACTTATGTTATTAGGTGGCAAAGAGCAAAACTTGCCTAGTGGTACTCATATTCGTGGGTAAGACAAAAAACTTGTTAGCATTATGTCCAATGGTAATCGCGATAATTTTTTACAATATATTTCGTAATAATCATTATCAGTGATATTAATATTTTGATGGTTGGAGATCCATCTACGGCGAAATCTCAGCTTCTTCGACGTGTACTTAATATTGCACCTTTAGCTATTGCGACTACTGGTCGTGGATCATCAGGTGTCGGCTTGACAGCTGCCGTTTCACGGGATAAAGAAACCGGTATTGTATATTTATAATTCATGAGTTCATTACCAATTTATATATACTTATTTTATTAATATCTTATCTATATTTCTGTTTGTATGCAGGTGAAAGATGTCTTGATGCCGGCGCAATGGTTCTCGGTGACCGCGGTGTTGTTTGTATTGATGAATTTGATAAAATGACTGACAATGATCGCGTTGCAATTCACGAAGTAATGGAACAACAAACTGTAACCATCGCCAAAGCTGGCATCCATACGTCTTTAAATGCCCGGTGTAGTGTGATAGCTGCTGCTAATCCTGTGTACGGGCAGGTGATTTAAATGAATTTAATTAAGATATTTTTATGTTAATTATTTCCTATGTTGTCTCAATAATCTTAAATTTATATTTTTTAATCATAGTATGATGTTCATAAAGATCCTGCACACAATATCGCTCTTCCGGACTCGTTGTTATCTCGTTTTGATCTTGTCTTTGTTGTTACGGATGAAATAAATGATATCCGAGATCGCAGAATTTCACAACATGTTTTACGTTTACATCAGTATCGACCACGTAATCTCGAAGAAGGTTTGTACTCAGGTTTGACAATGGAGCTACGAATGGAGTTAATAGAGCTCTGAATGGTGTACGGATACTAGTTTTTTCAGTTCCACTGGCTCCATTGTCAACCTTATTTGTACTGTATTATATTATTTAATGTCATGATAGTCTTGACATATTCTCATACTATTATTTAATATTATAGGTGTACCGATTAAGGACGATTCCAGGCAAACCATTTTCATGGAACAAACTGATAGGACAGTGGCACCGACTTCAATTTATCAGCATGATCCACAATCAATTGAAGACGAGTCTGATTCGGAAGAGTCTGAAATTCTTTCTTCGGAATTTCTTCAAAAATATATTCAATATGCTAAAAATTGCGTGACACCTAGAGTGACCAGAGAAGCTGCAGGTTATATTTGTAACTCATGGGTTGAACTTCGTAATGCTGAGACTAATAGAGGAGAATCGAAAGTAATTATACCTTTTATCAAATTATTTATAATGACTTTTAAGCTTTTATTCCTTTTAATAACTTTTAATGCTTTAAGACATCACCGATGACGCCGCGTGCTTTAGATTCACTTTTCCGTCTCGCTACTGCACATGCTAAAGCACGTCTTGCAAAGACGGTAAAAAAAGATGATGCAGAAGCTGCCGAAGCGATCATTAAATTTGCTTTATTTAAAGAAGTCAAAGCTAAGGATAGAAATAAAAGACGTAGGGTTGATACTGTAATATCTGATGACGATGATGACAATGACGATGATGACAATGATGAGGATGACAATAACGACGATGACGACTATAATGAAGCCGGACCATCATCTCGTAATGAGCTAATGAGGACTGACGACTATAATGAAGCCGGACCATCATCTCGTAATGAGCCAATGAGGGCTGATAGTATTCTTGGATTTGATTCCCTTGCATTAAATGAGAATGATGATAATAACGATAATGTAAATGGCGATAATGTAAATGGCGATAATGTAAATGGCGATAATGTAAATGGCGATAATGTAAATGGCGATAATGTAAATGGCG